GCTTGCGGTGATAGGTCTGCATTTGCAAGTCTCAAAACCCGAAGTGAGGCTGAAATGAGCTCTACGTCCACCACTCGCAGTTCGGTAAGGAGGCGAGCGCTCGTATCACAGCTCAAAGCCGAACAGGCGAAGCGAGTGGCAGACGAGAAGATTAAGGCAGCTGAGGTTCGTGCGAGGCTAGCAAGAGATGAGGCTTTAGCTGAAGCACGACAGGCAGCTGACCAAGCGGAGGTAGACGCGCTGGAGCTTCAAATAATGGAAGAAGAGGTTGGATTGCGAAATTCGGTCGGCACTGCAGATGAAGATGGAATGCGACCGGTGTCCATGCACCACCAGCCGCCGCCCATGGATCGCGCTGTTGACAAGTTGAGCCCTGTGCCGCCGACCCCGATGGCTCGCGCTCAGAACGAGCAGTCTGATCAGCGGGTCCAGTGTCAACTGCTTGGTGACACGCAGGCTGCAGCGTGTCAAAGTATTGCCGGAGCGCAGTCTGGAAATGCGGGAGGAAGTAACCCGACTCGTCCACCCGATCAAGAGAACAACCCGGCAAACAGATCGCCCGATCGAAGCCATCGCACAAGACGATGGGTTGAAGCCAACACAAATTTCGCTCCTGTTCATGCCTCGCTGCCCAAGATACAGCTTGGGATGTTTGATGGGTCTCCGTTAGAGTGGATCTGGATCCCCGGTGGATCTCGCTCTTTCGAGCCCTGGTTCATGATAATGCGTCACTGACTGACACAGAGCGCATGATTCACCTCCAGTCGTTCCTGACGGGAGACGCTGGTGAAGCCGTGCGTGGTCTGCTCTGTGACATGTCGCTCTATGAAGTGGCGCTGAGCGAGCTGGAGACTCAATTTGGAAACCCGACTGCTGTCGTCCAGAGCACACTCAGCAGCATTCTTCAGCACCCGGTAGTCAAGCACAACGATATCGCTGGCCTGACAAGTCTGTCACGAGCCCTGCACACGGCCGTGTGCGTGCTAAAGAGCATGGGCTACCGAGCGGATTTGGCCGCGACCTCTTCAATGCAGCAGGTGATATCCAAGCTACCAAGCGCGCTGGCCTGGCAGTGGGGCCAGCTAGAAGTAGAAATGATGCCACACGTACCCACTCTGGAGGATATTGATTCTTGGCTTGGGAAAGTAGTGCTGGCGGGTCGCCGCGTTCAGCCTGCGCTCTGCTCAAAGGTACAGGACAGTGTCGCCAGACCAGCGCATACACCGGCACCGCTTAACAGGCGCCGGGGCGACACAAGAGGGAACTCTAGTGTTCAGCTCAGCGCACAACTTTAGCGACTGCTTCAGGAGCGGCTGTCAGTGCTGAATGTGTTGTGTGCCAAAGTGGCGCCCACGCACTCGCCGAATGCCCATCTTTTCTGGAGAAAACACCAGAGGAGCGCGGTCACATCGTGCGCAGTGGCCGCCGCTGTTTCCGATGTCTCAGTACTGGCCACTGGTTGAGCAAATGTTCGAGCAGGACAGTCTGTGGAGAGCGGGGCTGCAAGGGGAGACATCATCGCCTTCTCCACATACCGTCGGCGCAATCTCCTCATCCCGCACAAACAAGACCGACGGCGACGACAGACGCCCGTGACGTAATGGCAATGACGCAGACGGAGACCGAGACGCATACAAGCCAGCGCACCTTGCTACAAATTGTTCCAATCCGGATTCATGGAACTGAAGGACGCTACAAGGATACCCTCGCACTGTTGGACTCCGGTGCCGATACGAGTCTGTGCGAGGAGCACGTGCTAAAGGAACTGGGGATTGATGGAGACAGAAGGGAGCTACAACTGGCCAATGTTGAAGGAAGCGGAGACAACAGACTCGCGCTCAGAACGAGTCTGCAAGTGTCCTCCTTGTTCCCAGGAAGTAACGCCAAGACGGTCACAGTACCAGAGGTGTTCTCCGTCGCCCGACTGAATGTGCGTCCTCAAAGCGTGGACTGGAAGCAAAGGAAGGCCTGGAAGCATCTGGATGACATAGTGATTCCAGACAACAATGGAAAGGCCGTTGAATTGCTGCTGGGGGCCAATGTTCTGGAGGCCATGCTGCAGCAGGAGGTCAGAGTCGGCAAGCCAGGACAACCAGTGGCAGTACGAACCCACTTTGGCTGGTGTCTGACCGGAAATGTGGCTCAGCTGGTGACTCATGGCCAGCGAGAGGTGATGCACATTTCCAAGCACCGCTCAGCTGATGACGAGCTGGTGACTATGCTGAAGGACTGGTGCTCAACGGAGGCATTTGGTACTGCGTACAACATGAAAGAGCCGACATCTCAGGAAGACCGGCGAGCTGAAGACATCATGGCACGGACTACCACGTGGCGCGGCGATCGCTACGAGACAGGGCTGCTGTGGTGTGATGAGAATGTCAAGCTGCCTGACAACTACCCCATGGCCATGCGCCGGCTGGAAAACACAGAGAGGGCTCTGCGTCGAGCTCCTGAGAAGGCGACAGCGTACCAACAGAGTATGGAGGAAAATGTGAAGAAAGGGTATGCGCGGCAGCTTGATGATGAGGAACTGCTGGTACAACATGACCGCACCTGGTATTTGCCTCATCACGCAGTCGCCAGCACGCCAGGCAAATTCCGCGTGGTCTTCGACGCAGCGAGCAGCTATGGAGGTAGCTCTCTTAACGGACATCTGCTGTCTGGACCGGACCTCCTAAGATCACTCCCAGGGGTGCTGCTACGTTTCCGTCTAGGGTCCGTTGGTCTCTGCGCCGACATAGAGAAGATGTTCATGCAGGTGGCTGTGAGAGCTGAGGACCAGGCCTCACTCCGCTATCTCTGGCGCGATCTGGATAGCACCCGTCCGCCAGATATATACCAAATGGACAGGGTAATATTCGGCGCTCGGAGCTCTCCAGCATCAGCCAGCTATGTACTACGCCGAACAGCCCAGGAGAAGAGTGATGACACTGTAGCTGGACGCAGAGCACGTGAAATTGTCGAAAGAGACTTCTATATGGACGATTTGGCCACCTCTGAACCAGACAGCGATACAGCACAAGAGACGGCGGCAGAGGTGACAGCGCTGCTCTCCAGGGGAGGCTTCAGACTCTGCAAATGGAACAGCAACTCCAGGGAGGTGCTTGCGAGAATTTCGATGGAAGACAGAGCAGTTGGTGCCGTAGATCTAAGCGCGTCACTCCCGACACAGAAGGTCCTGGGTGTGCAGTGGGATGCAGAGCTAGATGAGCTGAGTCCCAGTGCTCCGTCAGTCACGAATGTCGGGCCGACAACACCAACTACAAAGCGCGAGATCCTACGGGTTATCGCTGGTATTTTTGACCCACTGGGGCTGGCGAGCCCTTTCCTGGTCATGGGGAAGATGATACTGCAGACACTCTGGTCGACTGAACACACCTGGGACAGCCCTCTCTCTAACGAGGAGTGCAGCGAAGTGGCAGCTTGGATCTCAGAGTTGCAGTCAATAGAGAAGATTCGAGTCCCAAGATGCTACGCGTATCAGCAACACACCAAGAAAACAGTCACGAAGACGTTACACGTCTTCTGTGACGCCTCTGAGCGAGCCTTTGGGGCAGTCGCTTACCTCAGGCACGAATATGCAGACGGTGCCATCCACTGCTCCTTGATTATGAGCCGATGTAGGGTGGCACCGCTAAAAAGGTTGACGATCGTCCGTCTAGAGATGCAAGCGGCGGTGCTGGCTGTGCGCTTGGCGGCCCAAGTAGCTCAGGAGCTGAACTTGAATCAAAGTGACACGGTCTTTTGGAGCGACAGCAAAGTCGTCCTCAGCTACATCGAGAACAACAGCAGGCGCTTCCACACGTTCGTTGCTAATCGTGTGGCCGAGATCCGTGACGTGTCTGATCCCAGACAGTGGCGTCATGTGCCGTCCGAGCTCAACCCAGCAGACGACTGCTCGCGGGGATCGAAAGCCTCCGACCTGAAGAGAGACAGCCGATGGATAAGGGGACCCGACTTCTTGTGGCAGTCAGAAGGTGCCTGGCCACCAGACCAGCAGCTGTCACTGAAAGATGAGGATCCAGAGCTTAAGACTGTGATGGTCACACAACACAGCGCCCGGCAGACCATCCTTGTCCTGCCTGACCCACAACGGTTCTGTAAATGGGTCCGCTACAAGAGAACTGTCGCCTGGATTTTGCGATTCACGAGGAACATGTTGGGAGCGCTGAAGCCTCAAGTCGCACAGCCAAACGCTCTCGAGCGGGAGCCACTATCCGCCGAGGAGCTACATGAAGCAGAAAACCTGGCGGTGCGATGTGCCCAACGGGAGGCATTTGCTCAAGAGATTGAGGCACTAAACGAAGGTAAGGAGCTCCCTTCGTCAAGCAGTCTTCTGCAGCTGACTCCAATGCTAGACTCAGAGGGGCTGCTACGAGTCGGCGGGCGGCTATCCAATGCTCCTGTGCCAGAAGAGACCCGCCACCCTGTGATCCTCCCGAGAAGTAGCTGCATCTCGAGGCTCATCATCGACGCAGTTCATCGACGACTGATGCACGCGGGAACCGAACATGTCCTAAATGAGCTCCGTCAGGCCTACTGGGTGCCGCGCGCCCGGCAAGAAGTCAAGAAGGTAGTGGCTGACTGCCCTCTTTGCCGACGACGCCGAGCTAAGCCGTGTCAGCCCCGCATGGCCGACTTGCCGACCGCACGTTTCGACACGAAGTACGCCTTCAGTTCAATTGGGCTCGACTTCTTCGGTCCTCTAAAGATCAAGGTGCATGGAGGACGAATCGAGAAGAAGTGGTGTATGCTGGTCACGTGCCTCTCCACGCGCGGGGTCCATCTGGAGCTGACATCCTCCCTGAGTACCGACAGCTTCCTGATGGCCTTCCGCAGGTATATCGCACGACGTGGACCGCCATCAGACGTCTTCTGTGACAACGGATCGTGTCTGCGGGCTGGAGAGAAAGAGCTACGCCAGCTGCTGCGACAATGGAACCAGCACACTATCAGCGATGAGCTCACTCAACGCGACATCCGGTGGCATTTTAACCCACCGGCTGCCTGTGATATGGGCGGCGCCTGGGAACGGATGATGGGGACTGTCAAACGCGCGCTGAGAGCTGTCCTCGGGCGGCTGCTTGTCTCCGAGGAAGTACTGCACACTGTTCTGACTGAAGTGGAAGCAGTCGTCAACAGCCGCCCACTCACGCACGTGTCGACAGACCCGAACAGTTTGGAGGCACTGACGCCCAATCATCTGCTGTTGGGGCGTCCGGTCAGGCGTCTGCCTCCAGGATTGTTCCGAGACGAAGAGAGCTGCTCTACACGAGTTTGGCGGCAGAGCCAGGCGCTAACAGACCAGTTCTGGCGGAGATGGCTTCGAGAGTATCTACCAGGACTGGCATGCCGACCGAAGTGGAGATCGGAAAGTCGCATCCTGGCAGTGGGGGATCTCGTCCTCATCGTGGAGAACGGCAGCCCGCGCGGCCAGTGGCCCCTGGGACGCGTGACCGAGACAGTTCCTGGGCCTGATGGCCGCGTCCGGTCGGCGCACGTACTGGTCCGTGGAGGAGAAGTGCACCGCCCCGCCCGGCGGCTCTGCCTGCTGGAGGAGGCGCCCGGGTCATGAGCTCGTGTGCGCCTGGTCCGCTCCGTTGGCGGGGGGAGGGTGTTATTTCTGAAAGTGCCAATTAATTATCCTTATGAGGAGGATCCGTGCAGATTTCACATGAAATCCAACAATGATGGAAAATTATGAAAATGTAGAACAGTCTGGGTGAACGATGGATGATGTGAAAAGAGGTGAATTTGTATCGACACTTGGCTAATAGTTTTACGAATTTCGAATACAGTCATTTAAAGTAACTGGTCCCTTTTACAATACCCGGCAAGAACAATCGTTAACATGTTATTGACGTAACACCCTCAAGCGCCACTGGCGACCCCTTGAGACTACAGCCACCCCATCAAAGCTCAATGGCGCCCCTCCGGAGCGTCCGGCGTCCTGCTGAAGGCAACAGTGACCCCATTCAAGATCGATGGCGCCCTTCTGAAGATCACAGTCGCCCCATCCAAAGTCGCTGACGCCCCTCAAGAGCCACTGGCGCCCACCTGAAAGGAGACTACAGTCGCACCATCCAAGACCGATGGCTGGCGCCCCTCTGAAACCACTGGCGGTAGATAGGGGAAAGTGGGGTATAGCGGGGACCACCGGGGCAAAGCGAACCACTCTTTAAGTAGTGGTTGTGATACCGAATTCATGTTAACATTTGTAAAGTGCCAAATTTTATCGAAATCCTTTGATATGTCAAGATATATTGTGGTTAAGTCTTCTTTTTGGTCTAATGTTTTGTACAGGTTATGTGTCAGGTAAAGTAGTTGCTGTTGAGTGCTGTGATATTGTCTGCATGGCCGCTTTGTTTGTCTGATAACATTGCATTTTCTGCGATGTGTTTATATAAGTGTTTGTACACGATTTTTTTTTCAAAGACTTTAGAGAGAACTGAATGTATGCTTTTTTGGCTTCTTTAAGTTTACTCGGGTAACGTCCTTCTACTTGCGATTTATTGTATGAGTCTGACAACGGTTTGGGATCAATATTGCAATAAGCTTCACTAATTTTACTGGAATTTCATCCGGTCCTGTCGATATGTTTTCATTAACCCGCGCCCTGCTGGGGGGTGTTTGAACACCCCCCCTTGTGGTTTTTCGCGAATATCTCAAAAACGGCGGCGCGGAGCGCCGCCGTGTTTGGTACACATTATCATACATCAATTCTACACATGTTGTGAAAATTTCAGACGAAGGTCATTCAAGGTCAGGTCACCAGGTCACTTGAAGTGACCTCACCTCATACAAAGTTTCAATGTCTGTCATAGCTACACCGAGTGACCGATCGCTTTGAAACTTTCAGCGATTGCTAAGAGCAATAGCATGTACAAAATGTATGTCTTAGAATTTTGATACCGATGACCTAAGGTCAGGTCAATTTTGCGACCTCCCCATTATAAGTCAATGCGAGAAAATTGAAATGCGCCTCTTTTGGACGAAAGACATTATAAACACTCCCAAACACCGAATTACAAGTGGTTTAGACACACTGAACATGAAAATGGTGTCCGTGACCCTTGTTTGTGCCCTGAGGTCATCTTAGGTCACGAATGGTATCTAACAGTTTTTCGCAAATAACTTTTGATAGAGGCATGCTACAGCGATGAAAACGCCTTATATGTGTTCAGCTCGACGATACGGATCGACTGATATGCAACATGACCCTTTCCGGTCAGGTCATGACCTTGACCAGAGGTCAAATTTTCAAGTTGACCTTTCAAGGTCAAGTTATAGTTCATTCGATGCGTCTTGACGAGAGGAACACGATGCCGGTGAAGTAAGCTCGTACAAGGCTTGGGTCAAAAGTTATTGCAGAAAAACTGTTTCCGAAAAAATCGGCTATTTTTGCAGTTTTTGCCCCCTGCAGGCAAAACCGTTGACGTTAGGTCAAATCTGAGAAAATCACTCAGAAAGGGCGTTAATAGGGCTATCGAATGCACTTTTCCGCGGCGCTGTAGCTCTATTGGTTCCCGAGTTATGCGTTGGCTTCTTGGAAATTTTCGACATTCGACCTGGAAATCGGCGAAATTTTGCCTTCAATGACCCCTGGTGACCTTACCTTTGACCTTATTAAAAAAATTGACCGAAGTGATTTCGTCATTATTTTTGACGCTCTTTCGAACGCCGCCTTCCGCGTATCGCTACGTGGCCCAGGAGCCGAGTTACAAGGGGGGGGTGTTCAAACACCCCCCCCCCCCCAGCAGGGCGTGGAAATCCAGGACCCCCAGCCGGGCGCGGGTTAAGTGAATTTAACATTATCAGTACGTTTCGTTCTGACGTGACTGACTGACTCTTTTCTAATGTTGGCCTGGGCACATTTGGTGGCTCAAATGGTGGGGGTTCTTGTGCTTCGGGAATGTTGAGTAACGATTATGTGGCAGTCTTCATTTAAAAGAGTTGCTTTTTCTTTGTCATCGTTGATAATTTCTCCGTGCTCTGACTCTAAAGGCGGAATTTCGTCGTTGCGAGTTCGTCCTAATGTGCTGCGAAGTATTGAGTGGTATTTATGAGTGCTTAGTTGATGAGTCAACAGTTTATTCACGGTGACTATAAATAAGTTTATTTATCTGATTTTGCAAATGTTTGTTTTTAAGTTTTCTATTTAATGATGTAACTAGGTTTCTTTGGTATTTCCATCTGTCCCAATTGAATGTTGTCTGCGTCTTTTTTGCAATCATGAAAAGTCTTTCCCGTTTTCTCATGTTTTGTTTTAGCATAGAGGTCATCCATGGTTTTTCTCGTTGATATATTGTTTTGTACTTTTTGAGGATCGAGGCGTTGGCGGCATTTTGTATTGCCGATATGAATAGTTTTGTCGCCGTATGATCACGAATATCATGGTAGTTTTGATCCCGGATGATGTCTTCATTCATTTAGGCCAGGTCGGGTCAGGTCAGGTCAGGTCAGGTCAACCAGTAGGGGTCCTGCCGGGTCTTCGTAGTAGCTGTCAACCGCCTCTGACAGCCTCGTAGCATGTTACAAAGGCACCAAAACTACTTCGTAAATGTTCAAATAGGAAGGGCGCTCTGTAGGGCTCGGATCTGTGATCCCTACGGATCTCTCGATAAATGAGAGAGCTGGATCTATGATCCCGTTGGATCCAAGATGAGGATCCGTGGGATCAGATCCCAGATCCATTTTCTCGGATCCATGCACATGTTTATGATTGACCTGACTTTACCTGACTTGACCTGGCCTAAATGCATGAAGACATCGTCTGTGATCAAAATTAACATGAAATTCACGATCAGCACCCCGAAATACCCCATACCACCGTCCTTTTACGAAGTTCTAACAGGTCCCGATTTTCCCAAGCTTTTGGGTCATTGACCTGACTTGGAAAGTCAACTAATAACCTCAAACATAGAAATTGGATATTTTCGGCCCTCTCTCGTCATACGCAACACGCTCAATTTTTCCGCGAAGCTCTAGCTTGATCAGGGGCCAAACAGTTGGGCCGGAGGTCCAAATGACCTGATAACTATGTTGATTATGCACATTCACAGGTGGGGCATTCCAGGACGATTCAGCAGCTCGGGGGTGCAAATTAAAACCCGACCATCTCGGATGTTAAGAATCATTGACCTCGAAGAAGTAAAAACAATGCGAAATGCCAAATGATGCCAAATGATTCTTGCCATAGTTCACATAATTATTCTCGCTATGTTCCTCGCACTCACACCATTAATTTCATCTCGGATGTTCTTGAAAATTGGTACATGTAGTACTCCCGTGCGCAGAAGCCGATTCTGAAAAGTTCAGGTACGTCAGAGTAACGGTGATCGAGTTATAACCTCGGGCAATTTTGCAAAGTTGAAAAACTGCTTTATTTTGAGCATTTATTACTCCCATAAAGCTAAATCTGAAGTAGAAAATTGTATATAATTGGAATCGCAACATCCCAAGCATTATTTTCGTATAGTTAGTTTTTTTCTCGAAAATTTTGTTTCTTGATTTTCAAAATTTTAAGTACAAACTTATTTTTCAATTTTTTAAGGTGGCCACTTAAAAGATGTTGTTTTTGGCCTATGGAATTGCTGACAAGTATGCCAAAAATCGGAGATGGGTATTTTTTGTAAACATATTTTTTATGTTATAACTAATACCATACAGTGAACAATACAACTTATGATACGCTGCCGGCGAACATTTTCTAGAAAACACGTTTAATGGGTCAAATTCGAATGCTGTAAGGGTGTCATGATTAATAAACCAATAAACAGATCACTAATTAAGCTCTCGCCTGTATAGGGGGGGATCGAACGGACACCCCCCCCCCCCCACTCTCGATTTTCGCGAATAACTCGCGTAACTAAAAGCGGCCGATCGCGACGAAACTTTCAGTACCCTCGCGTTAATCAATTTTGCACCTACCCTGAAAATTTAATGACCCTGACCCACATGACCTTTAACCCTCGCCGGACCTATTGGTTTTCTACATACGCGCCGGCCGAGGGGGGGGGCGGGTACGACCCCCCCCCCTCGCCGTTTCGCCCCTGGTGGAGCTAGCGCGTCGCGGAAAAAACGAGCGTGTGCGCCGTTACGAGACGCAGAGATTGGTACCCGATTTTAAGGTCCTAGGTCAACCGGTGACCTCTGAGGTCAGGTCAAGTGCCCCAAGGTACGGTTCAGTTTTTGGTGAATAACTTCGCAAAAAACGGCCGCAGAGCGCCGATTTTGGCAGCATCGTGTTCGCCTCGCTCAGGCGCGTCGAATGATATACTTTTTGTCCGGGTCAGGTCAACTTGGGGTGTTGACCTCAGGTCAAGGTCAGGTCAGCACCCCCAGGTCACAAAGTTGGTCGAAAGAGGTCATGTCGCATATCATTCGATTCGGCAGGCCTTCCTGAGTCCATTGGTGGCTTTCCCGACTCGCTAGCTCAATTTGATCAAGAGTTATTGACGAAAAACTAATATGACCTTGATGACGTCATAAATGACGTCACGCAAGGTCAACATTGCAAAAGTGACGCATCTAACCTTGCAAGGAGTGCATCAAATCACGATTCTGTGTGCTTGAGATAGTTGGAGATCTTCCCGGCGCCAGGATAGCAGTTTTCATTTTTTCCCCATTGACTTATAATGGTGAGGTCACGAAAATGACCTGACCTCATATGACCTTTAGGAAAAATCCGAGATATACAAGTTGTGGGACTCATAATGGATACTAGATCCTGCAAGTTTCATTTCCCTGTGACATCTACTCTGGCAGTGAGGGCGTTGCGAAGTTGCGACATCTGAAGACCGTGCAGAGGTTCACTTATGACGTCATAGGTCAGTGACCTGACCTGACCCAAAAATTTGGTTGGTGTCAAAAGATCCGGCTTGGATCAAAGGTCAGGTATGCCAAGTTTCAGCTCTCTATCGCCAGCGTGTTCGGAGCTATCGCGAAAAAACCCTATGGGGGGGGGCGGCACCCGCCCCCCCCCCCTCGGCCGGCGAGGGTTAACCTGTGATCTACTTTTCGAGATCATTAGGGTGGGTGTCAAGGTCACATGAAGGCCAGGTCAGGTCATTGGCCGTTAATGACCTCGTTTCACTTTTTCGAGTTTTACATGTTTCTAGGCAAGTGTTTGGAGCTGAATTCGAATTTAGCAGCCATATGAACATTTACGAAGTGGTTTTGGTGTCTTCGTAGCATATTGGACGCCCATATTGGATGTTATTTTGGCCCCCAAAAATGGTAGTATTTTTGCCAGAGCCGAGAAACCAGAAAGGGTGTCATTTTTTATTTCTGTGCACACATGGCGTGGTGATTATTGGTGCTAGCTTGAAAACTAGGCTCTTGAACGATTTCCATAAGCCCTTGAAATAAATGCAAATCGATTGGACAAGACATCACTCTGACACCAATTCCGTCCGAGCTACGAAATTATTTCCGATAGCATACGGCATTGTTGTTTTGATACAATGTGTCCAACTCAAACTGATGTATCCGAGCTTCATGTTGATATACAGCGAAGATATTGCGGAAAAGCGGGAAGGGAGAGGAAGCTGTAATGGTTCTGAAAGTTCCCGATAAAAAAGCTTTAAGCTGGTGTGTAAAGAATTTCACATCAAATACGAATACGTCCCAGCTCAACGACATGTATAATAAGCCATTTTTCGTTTCAAATCTGACATATCTTATAACGATGTCTTATTTATATAACGACGCCAAGAGCTGGAATTGGAGACCTTGGAATCTGTCAGGCAGCCAGTAGTTGTCGCCACGTCAGTCGTGCTAGACTGCGATCAGTGTTGACTGCATTTAAAGTGTACGACGTGAGGTATATAATCAATAGGCATAGTGCGTTATATAGGCGGTGATTTTTGTACCGATGAACTTGTGACCATGGTTTGCACCTATGTATGCATGACACCCCAATGTACAATGACTCAAGCTTTAAAACCCACCACGTGGAGGCCCTTATGATCGTATATAAATAAATTAATCTGTGTAAGACCTTTACGGGTGACTAATAATTAAGAGACAGTGAATGACGATCACATATAGCTCGCACTCTAATCGCAGCACTCTATCACCCGAGCTATCATTGAACAGAGGCGGCAGCAGGGGCCGCGGTCGGCGCCAAGCGGCTTGCGTGTACTTACAAAGTCCTGGAAGAACGCCATCCTGGCGTGATTGGACGCTGGTTGCGAATATGTCAGCTCGTCCGTCACCGAGAGGCACAACATAGCAGCCTACTGCTCTCGTAGCACGGCTAGGCCGCACGGCACCCGAGCATGGCCACCAACGAGCGCGCGCCGCCGAGCGGGGCGGCGGCCAGCCTGTGCAGTGCGCGGCGCCGGCACGTCTGTCAGCACTGGCCGGCCTGACCGCTCACCGAGCCGGCGCCGCCGGCCAGCAGGCGGCGCCCGTGTCGATTCGGAGCACCGGCCGCCGCGCCGGCTCCGGCTGTCGCTCTCGCTGGCAGGGCAGGGGGAGGGGACGCCGCAGTGTGGCCGACGGCAGCTCCGGGGCCAGGTGCTGGGACTCGATCTGGTGCAGCACGAGCCGTCCGATGGCGGAGATCTCGATGGGCCGTGTTTGTGGCGCGCGCAGCCGGTAAACTGAGACGAGCGAGTCGCACCCTCTGATTTCATGGCCGGCCCGATCCCCGGCAGTCAAAGTTGCTGAGCGGTGGGGGTGGGGGGGGAGGAGGAAGGTCCAATATGATGCCACAAAAGACATGCCTCTTGGCTATAGCTATATAGGTACGCATGCATTGGTATTAGCATTTAGCAGTGTGCCTCCTGAGATGTTCGTGATTTTTATCGATTCATCGAGTTGACGATTTGAGGATACCTTTCTCAAAGTGCCTATCATCCAAGAAAACATAAAAACCAATGAAACGTTTTCTTCCAAAAATAGACAGGTAGGACTCCTCAGAGGCCATTGTAGCTGCAGTTTAATAACTCAGAAGTTGAGTCGCGCGTGAAGCCCTATATGCTAGTCAACTGGAAAGACCCAAAGGAGCCCGCCTAGGGCTCCCAGAGAATGGTGTAGGCCCCCAGGAGCCCGCCAGTGACCCCATGCTTGATAATTTTGGAATACGAAGTGCCTGAAAGTGCTAAACTTAAGAAATAATAATATATTATGCATACTAATCCTAACATTATTCATATCAATCGCTGAAGGTTTCAAGGCGATCGTGCCGTCGGTGTAGCTATAGCCGAACATTTTAAGTTTTTTTCGAGGTGAGGTCAGTTGGACTGACCTGGTGGCCTGACAATTTTAACTTTGTTAACCTCAACTTCCGGAACCGACTGAGCCGGTCCCGTAGCTCAGTCGGTAGAGCCTTGGACTCCGCGAGGTGAGATCTCGCGTCCCGGTCATAACATAAAACAGTCCGGGTTTGAAGCGCCAGGGACACTCGATGTTTATGAGCCTCCTGACAGGTATGGCTGCGGTTGGTGGCAGGCCGTAGCCAGCTTAAGTCAGTGAGGGGACCGGCCGTGTGCGGCTATATGTTCGTACGACTTCGGACTCTAAATTCTGTCATATATCAAGAATTGCGCGATCGGAAGATGGAGGGCAGGGGCCGGCCAATGCAACAAGATCTGCTTAGTTCCTTGTGAATCCTACCATTCAAAAGATCCGCAGCAGTGGACTAAATTTATAAGAAAACTGAAAACTTACATATTTTCCGCACATGCTGTTAAAATTTCAGACCCAAGTTCTTAAAGTTAAAAAAACGACGCGGAACGCTGTCGTTACTACTTATACATCACGTTACGACCTTCCAGACCAGTTGCACCTTATCGTAGTTATATGTACTAGTGATGTCAATCACGGAAAATCGGAATACCGATACCAAACCAAATACCAACCAAAACCACGGGAAAATACCGAAACCAAACCAACTTGGGAAAATGAGGGAAATACCTACTTTGTACCGATTTCTTAGCCTCTTATACATACGTGAGGGTTTATGATACCAACGCAATACCAAACGCATTACGATTGAAATACCAAATACCAAGTTGGTATCGGTTTGGTATCGGTATACCAAAAAGTTGGTATCCGATTGACATCTTTAATATGTACCTACTACCTATATTATGTTTATCATATGTGTGTGCTGTGCATAGATGTCGCAACTGTAGCGACAAGGCAGCGCAAATGGTAGCAGACAGCAGTAGTTTCCCCTACCAAAGTAGTGGTTTCTACTACAGACGCTCGTCGAGGTCGGAAATTCCAAATACGCCTGTCAGACACCCTGTAACATCATCTAATTCACGCTGACCCGCTGCTTGGGCGTTTATGGGCGTGCGCTCGGCCATGCTGGCCAGGGGTAGCCAGTAACAGTTGGTAGCATTAGGCCAAATGGGCGCTCAAAAACTACTACCCCATAGGGTTTCCATGTTAAATCGACCTTTTTCAAGCGAGCCTCACACGTAAGTTAAAATATAAGGTGCGACAAAACATTAGTTACAAAACACAAGTTAAAAAAGAAACGAGCAGGGACAAAACATCAACCCGACCACTTTCCGAGCCAGCGTAAGAGCAGCATACGAGAGCCAGTCATAGACGCGCTACCTATCATCCGTTTTTTTCTTCTTTTTTTTTGTCTGTGATTTCTAGCCAAGCTGTGCCATGTGTGTACTTTTATATGATTTTATACGTTTTATCACACTCGCGTGGGCATACCTATTTTTATCTCATGTTCTCTGAAATCTGCTTCAACGACTGTGTGATATACGTGTCCTTTATGTACTTTGACACTGTGGCGGTAAAAGCCAACATTGTTGGATCCCACTAAGACATGCAATACAATACAATACAATACAAAAGATAAGGTGCCAATGTTATTGTGGGGAAAGGTAGCCTCAAGCTTCCTCTACAACTTTTTTATCAAGCGTTTTTCGATGCCGAGGCCATAACAGGTCCAAAAAGCATTGGGCGCTGCCCGAGGTACCAAAAGCCCCTCCATGAGAGCACAAGTTCCTGCGCATGCGCACATTGCCTCCATCTTGTACTGGCGTAAGTTAGTGATACTGCTCACGGACTTGATCAGCCAATCAGCGTCCCAGCTTTTATTAAATGATGTCGCTAGCATCACGTAAATCCTGCTTGCGAACACGTTTTGAGAATCGGGAACAGCTGCGCCATTTTTGCCTGTCATTGATTCCTTCCATCTTAGTATCAACTATACACTTTTCAGCTAACTTAAGACCAAGTTTTAAACTATGGTTAGTATGTTATTTCTGGTACATATAATTTAAAAATAACTGCTTTATGAATTTGGCTTTACTCGTCAGAATAGAATATTCTATTTTTTCCATATTAAAAAAAATATATCACCTACCATGTAACTCATCCAGGTAAAATGGGCGCTTTCCGCGTCGTTGGTGTACCCGTTGTTCTATATACCCTGATGCTGGCAGCACTGGCAGCAGAACGGTTGTCAGACGAGCGCAGCCCGGCGGGGAGCCGCTGGTCACTCCAAGTCCATGGGCCGCCATCCGGCGCAGCATGGCACTGCAGCGATTCTTTCGTAAAGGCCAACGTCGATGGATACAAATGCGCCGTAAACCGTAATGAACGCCGGGATATGGCTGGTACAAATGATTTCGGTGGCTCTGACCAAATTTTCTACCAAAGAAATGTGGCTCCTAATGGACAAGCCTGTGTACTAGAAAAAAACATCTCTTTAGCAGCTGGGATCAATCGGTGCTTGCCCCGTGTCAATCGGACTCCAAGAAGCTGAGGGGGCATTCATTCCACGTCAAGTGTGACAAAAAATGATCATTTTGAACCCCACCTCCTCCTATTTTTGCGAAACTTTGTGAAACTACTTATCATCATCATCATCATCATCATCACGCCGCCGCGTGCTACCAAACGTTTTAGTAAAACATTTAAAATCGTTAGATCTCCGCTGACGTCACAAATTCTAAGGAGGCATTCCAATGCATTAGCCCCTTAGAATCCGAAAACTGCAAGTTTGAAATTCCATATCTCCGAATTAAAGCATTTTTCGATGTTGTGACTTGTGAGTGCCCAAACCGGTATTTGCAGATACCGGTATAAACCGGTATTATCTATATGTGAAAAGAAAGGAGACATTTCTTGTCAAGATATGACGTCACGTTTCCGAGATACACGTCATCAAACATTGACTTAAAGTGACCATCCCACCTTAACATTACTTTTGAGTTGAGGTAGCCAAATTGGTGGCCATGGCCTGCAAATACCGGTTTGGGCACTCACAAGTCACAACATCGAAAAATGCTTTAATTCGGAGATATGGAATTTCAAACTTGCAGTTTTCGGATTCTAAGGGGCTAATGCATTGGAATGCCTCCTTAGAATTTGTGACGTCAGCGGAGATCTAACGATTTTAAATGTTTTACTAAAACGTTTGGTAGCACGCGGCGGTATATGCTGTTTTGCGCGCAACAAGTGCCGCACTTTCAAATAAAGTCGCTAGGAATAGCGGGGATCCCAAAAAGTAAACAAAAGTAAAAGCCTATTATCTTGAAAACCAGTGAATATTTTTCGGTGAAATTTTGTAGATATTGATTTTTTCTCTTTCCGAACCACGTGAGATCACTTTTATGCTAATTCATTAACTTTTTTGAAGGTGGGAGGGTCCCTTTAAGAAAGGCATATTATCATCTTTAAAGCGTCATAACCAAGTGAAGTTTTAGACATATCACCACGAGGCAAAGTGTGAAATGGAGGGAATAGATCAGGCTTTAATTTGAGGATAACAATATTGACGTAATTAACTATTTAGTGAACTTAATCAAAATTCAAAAAATAAATTTTGATTTTACCTTCGATTTCGCTGATTTCTACATATTCTATTCTCCCATACATTAGCTATATCATATAAAAAATCCAGAATGGGCCGACGTCTACGTAACTGTCTTTTGGACTTCGTAATATCTGGCACTCGCGTGTTTCGTTTTAGCAATCAAGGAGAGGCGCTGCCCGGAGATGCTTCTTTCTACCCCAAACCAAAGCAAACCTAGCCTGACCTGACGTGACCTGACCTAATCTAACACGCGTAAATATGTACAGCCCTCACGGCAGTTGCCGACTGGCCAAATGCTACTTAGATACGAACATTAGCCCTCACGACATTTGCCGGCTGGCCAGATGCTACTTAACCCCAGGACTTAAC